TTGGATGACTCCCCAGCAAACTGGGCATCCGGGGTGCTCCTGGCTGCAAGAATGGGCCCCTCGAGGAAGGAGATCCCGCAGAAGCCCCTCGTGCCCGGGGAGGGCTACACCGAACCCGGGCATCGTGGTTCCATCTCAGAGCTCACGCATCCCTGCCAGAGAGGAGGAGCCGGCCCTGCTTTGCTCTCGCACGAGGATGGGGACGCAGCAATGCCACACAGAGCAGAGGCGGAGGGTCTAAGTGAGAGCCCAGGACAAAGACCCCGAGGCCGAGGGCCCTAGAACCAATTCTAGGTCGGCCTCGCGGTGGTTGGACTTCAGATTTATCCCGTCTGAGTGAAAAGCTCCATGGAAGCCGGAAGGAGAACTCTGCCCGCTCCTCTAGCCTCAAGGAAACGCCTGCTGTGTCTGCGTGCAGCCCAGAGGCTGCGGTGCGTGGGTCTTACGATCAACGCTGACATCTGCTCCCCCCCTCGGAAACGCATGCATCTGAAGGTCCTTTTTGAAAAGCAAATAAACGCTGGAAATATCTGTTTCAGCCTAAAAAGACAAATCGAAATCCCATGACAAATGGCTGCTTACACCCTCCATCCTCTCCGAAACAGCTGTCTCTGCAGCTCCCCGCACAGAATGCCCTCGTGATGACTGCACAGACTCAGGACTTCCATAAAACCACAGGGTTCCATATGGGACCAACGGATCAACTAAGATCATGAATTAAGTATAAAGACTAACTCAAAAGGTCAGTGGATGTTAATACTGTGTGTTCCATGTATGGGAAAGACCACAACGGCACAAATGCCCTCTCCCGTCGTATGAAGCCGCCAGAGAATTAAAGGGGACTTTGGTGCTGAGGTTGGGATGCAGATGGTTCTATTGTGATCCAGGGACAAACCAAAGATGAAATCCTACAGCAACCTTAATTTGGAGTTCACATGTTTCACAGCACGATCTTATAGCATTTTCAAAGAAGTTATGTTCTCCCTTTCTCGATAGTTAATTTTTCCAGGATTCTAGAAATTATCTGCACAGACCCGAGAGGAGCTCATCGCACACTCTGTCTGAGGACAGGGCACGGGGCCCGGCCCCGCCTCCTTGCCACGCACAGTCATTGACCAACACTCACCTTCGCGCCAGCAAACAGTGGCTTTCTGTCTGTGTCTCCTCCTTTTCCTCCCACGGTTGGCTCTATACCGGTGTGGCCTTGACTTGGGGACAGCCCCAGGGAAGTGGCCGCAAAGCCTGCAGACTCGGCATCGTATTACATGGATTAAAAAATACTACTACACTGTCCTGTCTTCTGCTCTGGAAGGACCTGCCCTGCCTTAGTTTGCCCCCAGGTAGGGTACAGCAGCCAGCCCAGCTAAACAGATCGTAGCCACAGAGCTGTCTGGAGGACACCTCAAGGTCATGCGTGGGCATGGAGCATGGGGGCTCCTGGGAACTACTGCTCGGCGTGGCCCAAAAGTCCTTTAAGTCCCAGAACCACCCGGAGGACACACGTTAGAGTGTAGCCAACAGCGGGCATGTTTGGAGAAACTGGAAAAACGGCTGTACCGGGCACTTCTTGCTCATTCCAGGCTTTCGGTCATCAGCCAAAACTCTACGTGACCCAGGGAAGCACCTAGGTGATGTCACGGTTCTACGGTAGAAGGTCAACTTTATCACATACACCCAAAGCCATCAGCTGGCATTCCCAAAGTTTACAAACTACCAAAATAAACAAAATTCCAAGCCAAGAGATTTCTTTTGGTCACCCCATAGTATGCAAAATCTATACCAAATGATACTTGCAAACTTGCCAACGATACTTGCGAACAAAGAGGACTAGCTCACACTTTGGTGCCGTGACGAGCTGTTAATTAGCAGACCGCCCAGGCCCACGCTGGCAGAACCTGGGCCTCACGCAGGGGCCAGAGGCCGTTTGTTAATCTACTACTATTGGCAACTTCTTCTCTGACGTGTCTTGTGGATAATTTCACTCTGATTTTTAGACCAGATGACACAATTTTGCGAAATCCCTAAAATAACTCACTTCAATTATTTAAAATAAATCCCGCCTCCTTGAAATAGAACAATCAAAAAGCGGGTCTGACCTATAGGGAGATCTGCACATCAGAACCCGCAGGCGCTCCAGGCTCCCCCAGGCAGGGCAGGGAACCATCAGTTTTCCGGTCCCAGGGAAGACGCACGACCCTGCATCAGGACCGCGCTCCATAAATCGTAAATAACAAGCTATTTGGAATGACACTCACCAGGCAGTGTGAAATATTTTGGTAATTTTAAAGCTTGTCGTTGTGACGTATTTCTCCTCCAAAAGAATTTCAGGAAAAGTTTCATTTGGGCCCGAATTATTTGTACAATAGATTTAATTTCACGTGTTGCTAAAACTTCATAATGGTGCTGCCCGGTCACACATTGCAAGAGGATTTTAAGTGCTTTTTGATAAGGAAAATTACGTTATTTGTGCAAAAGGGCAGGTCCAAATGCACTGACTTCAGCAGGCTTTACGGAGGCATGTTCTCTTACCATAAACGTCAGATTCCACCACGTAAAAACACACAAAAGCGTTTACGAGCTTGAGAAGCTGGACTTGTTGACAATAACCTTCACAAAGAGGGGTGAACACGCCAAGATGATGCTAGCGCTTCGCCGAGCCCGGGGCCACTCGCTCCAAGCCAGGGCGTGCAGACGTGTGCTGGGCAGGGCAGCTGCGCGGGGCGAGGGGTCCCGGCAGGTGCGTGGCTCACGGCTCCTGTAAACTGGCTCCTAAGCGGGCGGCCAGGGCCTGGCCAGCGCGCGGGTCTGCCGTCTGGCTGCATGATGACTGAGACCGCCCAGGCCCTTTCCTCCGGATCTCGCTCGGGGGCAGAGCCACCAGCCACCCCAGGCAGCGATGTGGGGGCATCTGGTAAACACGGCTGGTGAACATGACGTTGCCCGAGCCCCTTCCCCACACAGTCTGTGAGGCAGAAACAACAGGGGGACACGCCGTTGCCAAAACAGGGCGGCTCCATGCAAACGTCTGCGCGTGTTTCAAAGTTACTTTCCATTACGGGAGTCATGCAGATGATTAAAACCAAAATTAATGTTCCGATGTTGCTTAAACGCCAACTGCTCAGACCCGAGGCCAGCCCCAGGGTGAGGACTGGGTTGGGTGATGTGGGCAGACGCTGCAGCTACTTCAGACGCCCCGAGGTTTTCCTCCTACACAAGTTCAAAATGCATCAAATGATGGCTACATTTCCATTTCTCTCTTGCCTCAGGAAGCTCATCCTGTTTTTCAAATTAAGTGTATATATCCAACGACAAATCAAAGAAATACGTACATCAAAGAACAATCAGAATATCTAAGCAGAGAGGGCTCTGCTGCCATCCCCGCGAGATGGTGGGAATGGAGGCCGCACTCACTGCCTTCCCGCGCTCGGCCCCCACCAAAGGCACGTGTCATCCGTCCCCGGTGGCCCACATTGTCCTGTGATCCCCAAAAGTGGCTGTCCGAGGAGGCGGTTTGGGCAGCAAGGCCCCGAGGTTGGGTGGGAGGTGTCCTCCCCCCAGAGCTGCCGAGCCCCCGCCTCCCCCAAGTGCACAGGGCAGGGCGCAGGGTCCGGAGGAGGAGAGCCCTGCCTCCCGCCAGACCAGCTCCCTGACCGGGGGGGGGCAGTGTGTCCCTTCCTTGTGTTGTTCCGGAATGTTCCGTGATGTCTGCTTGTTACTGAACCTACTCAGGTCTAATCCTGCGGGTTTGTTGCTCCATGGGCGCCCGCTGGAGAGCAGAGCCTGCCCTGGCCTTGGTGGCAGGCGCCCACCAGCCCGGCCCCTGCTCTCCCCCACCCCCACTGACCCCTCTTCATTTGCTGAAAAGTCACAGGATGAAAGACTGACAGGTGACAATGGGCACAGATTCCGAGTCAAGATTCCATACTTCCTCCATTGTGGCAAAGGTTTGTTATGGCGAAAGTATTACTTCTTCAAAGGCACGTTTTGTAAAGAGAAACTACACACAGTGCTAACGCTCTGACCCCTCCGTCTGGTTCCTGCAGCAGGCTCAGTGTGTCCCATGGAGGGGGCTGCGACAGGGACCCGGCGCATGAATGAGCACCTGCTGGGCCATGCGGACCAGGTTCTGTCGGGACGGAACGTCCACCCAGGCAGCACCCGGCCGGTAACGACCCGGCTCGGGAGGCCTGTGACGCCCCTCGCTGGCCTGGCTGCCTTCGCATTCGCCACCCACCCCCTGCACAGGTGGGTGCCGCAGCCACGTCACTCCCTCCACCTTCCCCATTCTTGGAAACTTGGACTCTCTCCCCCAGTCGTGTCTTTTTATGTGAAACTCGGTATGTGCGGAAGGGCAGAGCAACAGCCTTGCAGGAGGGACGGAGGGGTAGGAGCCACCCCGGCTTGAAGGGAAACACGGATCCCCCCCCCCCCGCACCGCCCCATGCGCGCAACCACCGACAAGCCGACTTGGACGGCCGGCTCCCCACACGCCGCGCGCAGCAGGCACTGACACGGGTCTTGTCTCAACCAGGAGCCATCCGGACTCCTGCGCCCTCTCATCTTCCGTGTGAGAAATCTGAGCTCAGGGTGGGATCACTTTGCCCAAAGTCACTACGAGACGCAGAGCTGGAGCCGCGAGCCAGACGCTCACCCTCTCACCCAGCGCACGGCACCACCTGCGCCCCGCGCTGCCCGGCTGCTGCGATGGGGCTCAGGAGACGCTGTCCAGGCAGAGCTCGCGGACGCCTGGGGTGGGCTGGGGGAGGCAAGCTCTTCACGGTGTCCGAGCTGCCCGGGGCCTCGGAGACACGCGCTCCGGCGGGTTCCCTGGGCAGCCGTTAAGACAGAACTGAGACCTCTCGCCGCCTGTGTTCAGCAGACGAGTTAATTCTCTGCTCCGAGTCGATACAGTCGGAACGATGCCTTCTCTTCCCTCACGCACTAAGGGGAGTGAGTGCCCACTAAGGAGAGACCCGCTGAGAAAGGACGGTGGCACCTACCGGTTCCGCTTGGTTTTCACGTCCTGGTCTTCCCTGCCGTCTTCCGAACTGGATCCGTCGCTGTCGTGGGCTGAAAGAAAATCAAGCGGACAGGGTTGGTGTGTCGCACTCAGAGCGTGGGCAGAACCACCGCGCAGCGCTCACCTCCAAGAAGACTCAACTGGAAATTTAAAAAACAGACTTCTCTTAAAGGTTGATACAAAATCCTATAACAAGTTTTATATTTCAGCAGCCGAGAAATCTGACGTCGCTGCTCTGTAGAGGAGTCACCTACAGCGCTGGCTACGTAGAGGCGGCTGGGCTTCCAGAGGGCCTGGGGGATGGAGAATTAAAGGTGGGCATCTGCCTACAACCCCCTTGTCCATTGGGACGAGGGCCTGGGAACAGGCCCTTCTACTGCACGGCGCCGTCACGTCGGCCTGGGAACCACGAGCCCCGGCAGCCACTGCCCACGCCCACTGACGGGCTGGCTCTCGGTGGCGCTCCGTCTCAGCGGGTGACCAGACCCCCTGGCGTGTGGCCTGCGCTCACGACTGACCACACACCTACTCCTAAAGCCGGATGGATCTGACGACACGGTCCTGCTCCACCCTGAAGAGGTCGGCCCTGTGAGCCCTTGATGAGCCTTCGGAATGGACAGGGAAGAAGGTGCTTTGGTGCTTTGTGACGGTCTCCAGGAGGGACGGGGGACAGTGAGCGCACAGATGGCGCTCGCGCTTTATCACTCCTGTCCTGACAGGCGGTGACTCCCAAATGCCCCGCGCGTGACTAGGCCTCCCGCCCGGCTGCTCCTCAGACCGTGCGCTCCTCAGGCTTCTCTCAGGGTGTCCCCACGTCCCTGGCCCTGCCCCTGCTGGGGGCTCTGTGGCGGGAGCAACGCTCAGCTCCTGACGCACGCGCAGTTTATAAGAACAGACGGCAACTCCAACAGCTGCTGAGCCCCCCAGGCCTCTTCATCTTTGACCCCCCCTGCGCACGCTGTCTGGAATCCCAGGAAGGCCTCTGCGGCCGGCTCTCAGCTCCGATCTACGCACAGTTTTGCCTTCAGCGCGCGACGTGGCCGGGCAAGATGGGGCTCGGGTTCTAGGAGCCCGCTGGGCCCAGCTGCACCGAAGCTCCACCAGGGCCGCCCGGCCACACCCCGCACAGCTGCCCGGACGCCCCCGAGGCCACCTAAGCAGGCGTGGGCATGCGGCCTGCATCCTCTGCGTCCAGCGGCCCCCCTCACACCCCTCGTCCAGGGCCCCCCCAGCAAGGAGACATCATGGGCAGCCCCCCCCGCTCCAAAACGACACTGGGGCAAGGGGCAGGGTTTCCTGCCGGGCAGTGCGGGGTGGGGGGTGGCAGGCAGGTCTCAGCCCAGTGTGACCAGATCCCCAGCTTCTCCCCTGGGGTTCTCGATCTCGGCTCCACCAACATGGGGGCCGGGTCGCTCCTCGCTGCCCTGGGCTGTCCTGTGCACGGCGGGCTGCTGGGTGCGGCTGCGCCCCAGCTCCAACAGAGCCCACTGCGCAGGTCCCCGAAAGACACACATTGCGTCCTCTGTCTCCCAGCTTCCCTCCTGCCTGCCCCCCACCTCCTGGCATTTCTGCCCTGTCCTGTGGGCGCAAACTCAGCCTGTGCATGCTCCCCCCGCCTCTGCCTCCACGTGAAACGCAGGCTGCCACCGCGCCCTGCCGGCCCCTCACCCCACGGCACTGCGGTCCCCACGGGCTCTCTGCCACCTCCACACCAAACACCCGGCTGCCTGTCTGCACTGTGTGTCGTCTGAGATCTGCGCCTCCTGCCTGGTGTGTCCAGAGCAGGTGACACTCTGGCTCAGTCCGGAATAATGACTGGGATTTAGTTTTTGGTCACCCACTTGTCTCTCAGGCAGATGAAGTGGGAGGTGACGAGAATGGCAGAGACAAGACGTGACGCAGGCGCGGAAGAGAAAGATCCCTGCCCCCTCCATCGCAGGACACGCTCCAGGGAGGCCCGAGGGGGGACATCGAAATTTCTTTAAATTAGAAAATAATGAGATCATACAATTACAAAGATATTATTTAAAATAAATGTGTATAATATTGGTTATTTTTAGAGTGTTTTTATTTGTTTGCTTTGAATAATTTCAACATAGAAAAATCCTTCCTAACTGGGATACAAAATCCAGAAACCATAACAGAAAATATGTATAAATTTGACTGATTTTAAAAATAGACCAGCGGGGTTGGAGGAGAAGGGATCTCTCGGATCGGTTCCCGCACCAGCACCGCCAGGGGGCTGGGAGGGGACTGGACTCAACCACGTCGGAACCCTGGTTCTGCTCGGACAGTGCTGGGCCCGGGGGGAGGCCACCGTCCCTCCCTGGCCATGGATGGTGGAGCATAAACTGCAGGGACTGCACACGACGAGGAATACGCGCTGTGCGGAAGTGACGCGGGAGAATCTCGAATGGACGACTCTAGCCCTGGACAAGCCCAGTGAGCAGCCCCCGTGACGCAGAGGACCTGGTTTCCAGAGCTGCCACGTCATCCTCACAGCGCTCACGTCTGGTTCCCCGCAAAGAATTCCAAAGCACACACAGAAACAGGGAAGTACGGCTTGTTCACGTGATTTTTCACAAATGACAGAAATTGTCCCTGAGAATGCTCATATATAAAAATCAACTCAAAACAGATGAAAGAGCTAACTTACAATCTAAAATTACAAAACTCTTTGAAGAAAACATAAGGGGAAATCTTTGTGATGTTGGATTTTGCAATGATTTCTTACGTTTGACACCAAAAACACAGTCAATAAAGGAAAAATGCTAAATGGGACTTAATCAAAACGAAAAACTTTTATATATCAAAGTCTACCAACAGAGTGAAAGCACTATCCACAGAGTGGGAGAAAATATTTGCAAATCATACATCTGATAAAGGATTTAATGTACGGACTGCACACAAAACTCCTACAACTCAACAACAACATGAAACAAACGACCCGATTAACAAATGGGAGACGACATGAACAGACGTGTCTCCAAAGAACAATCTGCAAGGCCAAGAAGCCCCAGGAAAGTCCCCAACGTCACCGGGCATCAGGGCTGTAAACAAACCCTCGGTTCAGTGCTAGTTCACGCCCACCATGACGGCTGTGCAAACAGCAACAACAGACGGAACCGGCACACAAGTGTCCACCAGACGTGAGGACCGTGAGCCTGCACCTGCTGGTATGGACGCTGTCAGAGAAGTCTGGCCCGTCTTCCAAAGGCAAGACTCACCGCGGGAGCCAGCAATGCTACTCCTAAGAACATGTCAGAAAGAATTGAAAACAGGCCTCGTTCGCACCTTTGTATGCACATATCATATAGTGTATTATTCACAGTAGCCAAAAAGTGACAACAACTCAAGTCTCTGTCAACACAGGGACGGACAAAGGACATGTGGCCACCATGCAATAGAGTATCATCCGGCCACGGAAAGGAATGGAGTCCTGACACCCGCCACAACACGAATTAGCCTTGAAGGCGTGCGTTACGCTATGTGAAACGGGCCATACACAAAAACACACGGACCGTTTTGATTCCGTATGTGAGGCGCACGGAGTGGACAAGTCCACAGAGCCGGGACGTGGCCAGGAGGTGGCTGGGGCCGGGGGAGGAGCAGGAAGTTATTGCTCAATTGTTTCTGTTCAGAGTGATGAGAAGTTTTGTGAATAGATAGCCATGACAGGCACACGACATCGTGAATATCCTTACTGCCACTGAATCGCACACTTGCAAATGGTTAAAATGCTAAACCTCATGGTGTGTGTACTTTACCACAATAAGGAAAAAAAAAAAAGAACAACTTGTGTGATGGCAAAGAGAAATTTTTAGAAAAGCAAAGAAAAATGTTGGAATGATGTCACAGCTAAGCACTGATACCCTTGATTGACGAGAGTCCGTACAGCTCAGTGGGAGAGACGAGGACACAGGACACAATGAACGGCAACAAACCTGTGGAGACTGTTCCCTTCCACTCAAAGTCAAAGAAATGTCAACTGAAACAGGAGTGGCGTTACCAGCTAACTTCTGATGACCTCTGACGAGCTGTGGTGCGTATGAGGGTGGCGTCTGAAAGTGGGAGCGCCAGCCTCCAGACAGATTCTTTGGGGGGAAATTCAGAATATTTGTCACAAATTTAAAACACGTGTACCTTTTGACCTGGCAATTCCAATAATACGAAATTACACAATAGATACACTTGTAAAAGCACTTCTCAGGTAAATACACATATCTGTACGGAGATGTTCTTACCAGCATTATGTGTGTCAGGACAGACAGGCACATGACCCGCAAGTCCACCGAAGGCCAGGGGCTGACGAAGCCACTGTGTACCCAGACAGGAGAGGGCAGAGGGAGAGCAGGGGAGGAAGGAAGAAGAAGAGGGGAGCAGGGAGACAGAGACTCTGACCATGCGAAGATGGAAACACAGCCGGGGTGCAGCACGAGCAACGTGCGGAACAGAAGGTGCAGCAGCACTGCAGTTTCTTAGATGTTTTTATATATGTACATACACACACACACACACACACACATACACACACATGCATACACACACATACACGCACGCATACACGCATACACACATACATACACACATACACACACATGCACGCACATGCATACACACACATACACATACATACACGCATACACACATGCACGCACACGCATGTGCACACGCATACACACATGCATACACACATCCGCGCATACACACATGCATACACATACACACACATACACACATATACACATACACACATACACACATATACACATACACACATGCACACATGCATACACACATGCACACACACGCATACACACATGCATACACATGCATACACACATGCACACACGCATACACACACATGCACACACACACACATACATATTTGTATTAATATATATGAAGCCACTGAGTGAGCCTGGGGGTGAGGCTGGATCAGCTGGTGAAAGTCCTCAGTCTCCGTGAGTCAAATGTCTTCCCTTCTGTGCGTGGAGGGGATTGTACCTAATAATGTCGTTCGTCTTAGAAAGGGCAGGCGCCATCCCTGGCTGAGACATGCAGAAGAATCCAGGAGTCGGATTTCGGTGAGCGAGGCGCATCTGCATTCGGGCGAGCCCCATAGGGTGCAGCGCACATCCCAGCTCGGGGGCCAGGACTGGCAAGGCAGACGCTGGCTTCCCCTGCACCCAGACAACAGTGCTCTCACCCCCGAGTCGGTGGGAACCCCAGCTCTGCCTCAGCGGCAGGTGACCCCCACCTGGGCAGCGCTAATACCTGGCTCCTATGCAGCAGAGCATGTGCTGTCCCGAGACAGTGGCTTTGCTGGGCACAAAGGGGGCCGGGTTGGGGCCTGCTGCTCGGGCAAAGGCCCCAGCGAGCATCTCGCAAGGGCTGGGTCAGACTCTTCCATGGCGGGAAGCCCGGGGGCGAGGGGCGGGGCCTAGAGGCAGACAGCGGCGCACACCTGCACCAGGTGCAGGGCAGGGCCCCGTCAGAGCGGGCAGGGCCCCAGCTCAGGAGATGGGGGTGCAGGGGGAGGACGGCCTGACTGGGAGCCCTCCCCACCCTGGAGAGCACCCCCACCCTGGGGAGGTCCGGCATTTGCACTGAGTGGTCCCAGACCTTGCTGGGTGCCCCTGGCCAGCCGGACCCGCTGAGATTTGGGCATCCAGTGTTTACCGTCTTGGTGAGAATGCCTGGGAAATTGACCCATTCACTGCTCGCAGCTGTGTTTACCCACAAGGACAATTCTATATCCCACTTGGTGAAATGAATGCTATTACTCATTTACATTTGTCTTGAATATGAACGGTTACAATGTTTTCAGAGCAATCGAAGCCAGTGCAGTCTGCATCATCTCCAGGCTGGGGACCAGCGAGCCTCACGCACAAAGCTGCCTGGTCCGCTGTCTCCCACATGTGGTTGGGTCCTGGCTAGACTGCCCCCTCAGCGGGAGTCAGACCCTGAGGTGCAAATCCCAGCCCCCCGCTCCACATAGGTATGTAATTAAATTCCTTGTGTTAATTCTCTCTTCCGTAAAGTGGGCCTGGGGCACAGAATGGTGTCCCCAGCGGTGTCCACAGCCTGACTCGACGCTGTGAGTCCATCAGGCCGCACGTGCCGGGGCGCTGAGGCTGCCAAACACTCCCCTTGGGGTGGGAGGTAGTCCCGCGTCATCCACGGAACCGGAGACCCTCATCCGTGGCAACGGGAGGCAGAGGCCAGAGCCGGGCGGGGTGTGAAGGCGGAGGAAGGGCCCGGAGCGAGGAAGTCACCGACCCCCCCGATGGCTGGCAGCCCTCACGCCTCCCGCACGCGCTGTGGCCCAACAGCAGTTGCGTGTGGCGGCCATCTCACAAAATGCTTTTATTTCGCTCAGCCCTTAAAAGACAACGGGTGTCAACTCAGGGGCTCAGCTGTTCCATTTCAGACTGGAAATAGGTATCGGTATATTCAAATCTACAATGATTCTGGGTTGAGCAAAATGTGAAAAACACAAATGCTCCACCCAGAGCAACCTCCCTAGAGCTCGTCGTACTCGTTAGGGTTAAACCGCTGGACGAGTGGCAGTGAGGGACAGCCAGGGAAAGTGCCACTTTGCCTGCGATGGCTGCAGGTCACCAACTCCGCCCTTATCATTAGCTAATCCTCCAGAAACTCTTCCTGTCCTGATGTTTTGCCGCAAAGCTCTCGGGTGGATCTTGGGAAATGAGAAGTTACGTTCTTAAATATCCATTCTACCCTGGCGACTGGAAGCTGAGAATCGAGGTCTTCTGCATCCTCTTAAGATTCAAGTTAAAAAAAAAAACCAAAACTGGTTTCAGACAATCTCTCCCTCTCTTTGTAAGAGGAAGGAGGTGCGGTGAAAAGCTGTTTTGTAACTACATGGAATTTGGTAATCACAGTCTACCTGCGTGGCTCAACCCCCCGTAATAAAGGGACATAAGAGAAAACGCCACGACGTGGCGACCCTGAGCGGATCAGATATTTCTGGTTGTGTTTGTCAGGGTGAAGGCCCAACACTTTGCCTTGCCAAAGTGTGAGATGAGACTCCTGTCAGTAGAGTGAGAGGAGCATCATCCTTGCCCCAGGTAGTTCGGGTCCCTGTCCCGCACCCACCGTCCTCACAAGCCTGGAGTCAGCCAGGCACCCAGTGGGGTGTTCTGCGTACACCTCTCCGTGTCTCTCCAGACCTGGCCTGATTTGGCCTAAACAACAGAAATGAGAGAACAACTATGCATTGACTTTTAATAAGTTCATTTGTTTCTCATTCCTATCAATTTTTTGGGGGGAAAATATGAAACAGCCCCCAATTACCTGCGAGAACAGGAGCGAAGGAGGGCAGCGAGGAGTCCGCCTGCGGTATTTGCCTTTCACCAGGCAGATAAAACCACCGCCAGGGCGAACTGCGCCGTAACGTTTCTCCGGGGGTTTGGAGATCCCACAATCTTCCTAGATTGTGCAGGACGCTCTTGTCCATGAGTAAGAACCTTGGGAGACTGTTTCCTATAATGATTTCTTCAGCGTTCTTTCAGAATGCAAAATATCCCTTTAATAACAAATGTTGCCTGCTCAGAGGAGGAAACAAAATCACCAAATCCAATCCTCACTGTCCCTGAACAGCAACATTTGTACAGAGTCAGTTAAACATGGACCTAGAACATTTCTTTCTCTCCCAACATCAGATGACTAAAGCTCTCTGGAGAATGCTGTCATTACCTTAAGTGAAATAGACATACTAAACTGTCTCAGTCTTAAAGGACTCGTACCGGCTTTGCAAGAACGACCATTTCCATGTCTCTTAGCGCTGTCAAAAACGTTCAGAAAACTTTTATAATACTGTCTTCTAACGTTCCGGTCAAATGACTCTGGATTTGACAAGAAGTGTAGGCTGGTATCATCTAGCGTTAGCCCTACATGATGTGGAATCGAAAATATTACAGACCCAATAAAATACCCCACAAAAATGAAACAAAGAACTTGTTCAAGGGCTCAAGATCCCACGTCCGCCTGCCTGGCCCCGAAGATGCGTGTCTCTGCGTCCCAGGTGAGGGGGGCTCCCGCTCCCGGATGCCCCCAGCAGAGCCCACGCTACCTGACATCCCGTGCTCAGGGACTGGGGCTTTCCCAGCTCGACAGCTAATAAAATATGCATCAGGTCTAATCGGAAAGGATCCTTCTGAAGATGCTAGAAGTTCTTTGGCTCCTGGTGAAGCCAGATTTACAAGAGCATCATCAGAAAAAACTGCCTCTGCCAAGAGCCCCATTCCGCCACCGCCGAGAAGGATCCTTTCCTCTCCCCGAGCACAGGGCTTTATTGAATGGAGGCATCCGGCCAAACACAACAACATATCGATTCAGCCCAGAGGTCGCCAGTGAGGGTGTGAGGCAGAAGGAAACACACTCCCATTGTGCACGGCCAGTCCCCAAGCGGAGCCGGTAAGACGTTTGGAGCAACAGTAAGAAGCTGGATAATGGTGACGCTGGCAGGACCTTCCAGGGGTGGTGCGTGAACGGCCCCCTCTGCATTGATCACCAGACGGGGGCAGAGGGACAGACAGACCTCACCACTCGGGGAAATCGAGGTTGCCGCAGAAAGTGCCTTAAAAACTTAATTACTACATTCTGTAGTTGTGCACATGACTCCTTAATGATCAATTTTCCACATAACCAAGAGAAACACGCTTTCGTTTTGTGTTCACGGGAATACGTAGCTTAAACTCTGCCAAGTGGGTGCGAACAACCCCGTTCCCAGTTACCTGCTGCGGCCTCCAGCTTGCGCTTGTGGGGAGGGTCCTCGATGATCCTGTTGAGGTCCCCACGGTTCCTCAGGTCCGTGGGCTTCTCCCAGACAGACAGCTGCATGGTTGGGTTGAAGAAGAAAACCCGGTCGTCTCCCGTCCAGACCACACACCTGTTTGCGTTGAAAAACTCATCTCAGTGGCTCGCGGAGACATTTCGCTAGAAAGTCATTAGCAGGAGCCCTAACGCTAAAGCCCTTCGGGCCCGAAATCCACACGTTTGCAAAGCTTACTTATGCACAGTGCGAACGATAAAGACGAAGCCTGCTTTTAACTTGCTTTGCAGATCTTCTCACGTTTATCTCATTTGATTAGCAGCAGACACCCTCGCAACTGCCCGTCAGCCATTAAGGGCACCAACAGGCCCGCTTAACAAGGTCACACGAGCTCAGAGCTCTTCCAGCAGTGGAGCTGTCTCTGCTTCCATGAAATTCCCATCGGGTCCCGAGTGCTCCGGGACCCAGGGGCAGAGCACTGTGGAGAGGGGCTCCCCCAAGCCCCCTGCTGGAGCTCTGCGCTGCCGGCTGTGGAGGGGCACAGGCCGCGGCTCACTGCTCTCCAACCGCGGGAGAGTTGACCGACTGCTGCCAGCAGGGCGGCCCTGGCGGGCTGCTCATTTCTAGGAGAGCAAAGAATTAAGGTTTGCACTTCCATAGATGGAAATTTACAATTCCCGAAAGGAATAATTTGCAATTTCAAAACCGTTTATCTGTAGAAGGTTATCAGAAAAGAGTAAAAAGAAAAAAATGAGGAACGGGAAAAAAAGGAAGACAGGGAGAAGGGAATTCCCTTCCTAGGGGCGTGTGCAGTGAGTCTGCAGTGGGGGAGACACCCAGGAACGTGGGCTCTGGCCCCAGTGTGTCCCAGCGTGTCCCAGCAAACACGGCTCGGAGAGGCTGGCCAGGCGGGCCTCGGACCTGGGCTTTACGCCCTGACTGGTCTCAGGATGTTGCGAGAACCAGCCCCAGGCGGCACCGGCCCATTCCTGGTCCGGACCTCCTAGAAAGTTCCCCTGGGCAGGACCCCTCCCCTCCCTGGGCCTCCACTTCCCACCGTGACCTCGGAGGGTGCTGCCAGCTCCGTCACTGTGCTGGGACTTCTCAGATGCCCAGGGAACAGGCGGGAGCAGCCTACTAATGCAGCCACGTGCGCCTCTGCTATTGATCTCCCTCCGAGGGAGGGTCCCCAGCCACGGGGGGCACGTCGGGCAGCGCCTGGGTCCCCAGAGTCCACGCACACCCCTGCCCCCGCCAGCCTCACGCGGTGTCTGCAGGGGCTCAGAGCCGGGCCAGTCACTCCAGGCCCCTCTCCGCCAGCCCGTTCCCCGGCCAGACACAGGGTCCCAGGAATGGCAGGTGGACCTGGCGGGAGGTCCAGGCACCGCAGCCCACACAGCCTCCCCCAGGGCTGAGGGACCTGTGCCCTCCCAGGAGTCCCCGCAGGGAGGGTCACTCAGCTGGGGGCCCGGGCTGCCTTCCAGGGCAGGCCTCACTGCGGTCTCTGCATGATCCTAGGAAGGGATTCGCCGCTGTGTGCCCCAGTGTCCTCAGTGGTGAAGGCTGGGGGACAGGTCCCTCCCACCTCAGTTCCAGCTTCTGTTCTTCTTTCCTCTTTGTTTTCTGATCTGGTGCCAGGACCCTAGTCACGGCCACTGTTGGTGCCCGCCAACCCCTGCAGACCGATCATACCAGGCTGGGCGCTCACCCCCATCAAGAGCTCTGGCTGTCCGGGCTCAGGGCCGCACCTCAGGGCTGGCCAGACTCGGCCAGCGCAGCAGGCCCTGCTTCTGGGAGCCCCACTCAAGACAAATCCCATGTGGGAGGAAGGACCCAGTATTCCCAAGACGGCTCCAAACAGAGTAGGTGGCGTGTGGTGTTGATATCGGGAGAAACGCAGCCCCCAAACCTCCCTCTTCTTAAAACACCTGCACTCTGGGATTTTCGAAACAAGACCCGGCCCACGGTGCGGCAGCCCCACCATTGTGGGATGGAGGCAATGAAGCCCAGTGCTCACTGCCAAGCACCCAGCTCAAGCCCTGCTTATCTGAAACAGCACCGGGCATGTGCAGCTCATCCACGGCCGGTGGACAGGGTGCCCCAGGAGCTGGGCAGGTGACGTCCTCTCGTGGCAGGAGAAAAGGGCAGGGCAGCCGGGCCAGGCTGACTCCAGCAGGAGCCCTCAGGCCCAGCTGAACTCCAGGCGTCCTGGTTTCCACAGGAAACCCAGCATTCCCCGAAGACCGGAGCAACTCGAGGGGAGGTGGCTCTGCGTCTGTCGGGGGCACCTGTGCCCGGTGTGGGCACCTCCCCCAGGGGACTCGGACGTGCTGCGTCACTAGAAAACACGTGCTGAGTCCTCCTGGTGGAAGGTCCAGCTGGTTCTTCACTCGACGAACCCAGTTCATGTTCTCTGTGAGTTCCTGGGCTATTTCCCTCGCCGGCCTCCAAGCTCTGCTGTAACCTCAGAAAGAGGCTTTACATTTGAGGCTCCGTATTTATTTGGACAAATTCTCCCCAGACCCACCAGTCTTTGTCGTAAACCCAGTGCTGCAGGAGACGCGCTGACTCTGACTCCCCGGTGCCGGGGTTCAGAGACGCCCCAGCACGTCCCGGTGCAGGGACAGCCAGTGCCACACGCGTCCCCAAGTGCGGGAAACAGTTGCCGACTCCCTAAGTTGCCACCAGCGAACTCCTAGAAACAGGGAGGAGTGGAGAGCATTAGGACTTAACGGGATTATTACCCGGGGGCGGGCAGAGCGCGCAATCGCCTCGCTGCACATCCATGTCCAGCCGCAAAGAGCCCCGTGCCCGCACCCCGGGGAGGCCTGCGCAGCTGGACCGAGAGCTGGCGGCAGGTAAATAAACGCGGCTCCCAGGAGAAATCTGCCCGTCCACTCGCTACGGCTGGTCCAACTGCGTGGAGCCGGCTGTAACACGCAGGATTAATTTCATGTGCCGTCTACGCCCACCCTGGGTGCTGCGTATATGTTCCCCTTCCTTAATCACGCCGTGTCGTTGCTGGACAGCTGCCACACGCCCTCTCCTCTGTAACTGCCCCACATCCCAGAGGACGTGATTAGAGCGTCAGAGCTTCTAGGTCTGGAGCAGCAGGTCCACACTCAGCAGCCCTGAGATGTGAAGATCCGGATTTGATGCAGTGAAAACTGGGGCTGTCGCTTCCTCGTGCAAAAGGAGTCTCGCCATCCCATCGCCCTTCACACGGCAAACCCCGCGGTGTGAGCTCCGAGGTGTGGGCGACATTCCTGCTCCCCTCAGCTCACTGGGAGAGGGAACCCGAGCCCGACCCGCCCCCAGACACACAAGGTGCCCTGAGCAGCCCCTGTCCCGGGAGTGTCCTGTCTGCTCGCCCCGCCCGCCAGGGCTGAGACCTCTCAGAACGGACAGCAGTGCCCAGCGCCCTCTGCTATGTGCTCACCCTGTCCTCGTTCTCCCTCCTTTCCCTGGGGCTTTGTCTCCCAGGAGGAAGGGCCTGACCTGGGCAGGACGCAGTGGCTGTCAGGTGAGGGGCTGTGAGCTTGGCCACACGGAGATCAAGGAGGGAGAGCAGGATGCTCCCTCCCCCTTTCTCCTAAGCATGTTCTCCAATTCGATGTCTCTGCCACAGCTGCCGCACCTCCAGCGTTCACCGTGGGCAGCACACGGCTCCACAGGCGTTCTGTCTGTGCTCCAGATGGGCGTGAAACACACGCCCAGACACGTGCTGCCACGGCTGCGAGGCCCGCGCTGGGCCTGGGGCCTGCTGTGCCACTACTTAACGTCTCTCAGCTCCAGGACGTGGGCAGTGCCACCGTTCCTGCAGAAGTCGGCTGTGCTAGGGACAGGGCAACAGCATGACGTCCTAGACCGAAGGTCCTGGAGGAGCCGGGTGGAGGCTGCAGGGCTGGCGTCCTGGACCTGAGGGCACCTGGCCTTGGCCTCCTGAAAACAACAGCTCGGCACTTTTTATTTCACGTTCCCGAAGGAGAAGGGTGACTCCCGCCTTCTTCCTCGGGGGTGAGAGACGCAAGGGAAGGTCCGCAGGGGGACCGCAAGCGAGGCGGTGGCCGGCTGGGCTGCGAGTGCTCCCTCCTGGCTGCCGACAAGGGCCCGGCCAGGCCTGGGCTCACACGTCTGTGCTCCTCAAGCCGTCACTTCCCACTTCTTTGCATGACTCTTGAAAGATTTTATCCATCAGTCTTTAATTACCTCACACAAACTTATTTTCTCGTTGCTAAACAATGAGCAGCATCAAAACACCAGCCGGCGGTCAGCGGCCAGTGAGGGGCCAGCCTGGAGCCCCGGGCGACTGTCCGTCCAGCCTTGCAGAGAGCAGACGCAACACCTTCGGGAGGCCTGTCGGCTGTCAGAGCATCGCCCACCTGCGGCCGGGGAGCGAGAGGCTTCCCGGGAGCTCACCCCGGCCTCGTCGCGTGGATCCAAACGGCAGCTTCCCCAGGCCTCCTCCCGCACCTGCCAGCTAAGGCTGACATTTAAGGCAGCCTCCGCGTCCCCTCCCTGACAAGGAACTCCTCCCCTGTCCCTTCTCTGACATAATAAAGGACTCGATTATGCAAAGGGGACGGACTGACATTTGGTTTCTCTTCAGTGCTACGTATTCAAGGAAGAGCGATGGGCCGTCTCCAAGTTTCAGGAGCAACGAACGGTGCACAGGAGACACTGACGTCTGCTGGCGTGACTGAGCCGGCGTCTCTCTTAATAGCCGTAATTTCTAACTGTCTTTCTTGTCACACCCTGTCCGCATGCATCACACCTGCAGAAACTCTCCTTCCATCTAGAAAAGTTCTACCGGCTTCATCCCAGAACATGAGACCTCAGATTACGGTATCCTTGGAACGACCCGACAGCAGGAAACCCGATGGGTTTCTGAGCGGCGGAGTTGGCTACGGAAGTTATTCCGGACTCTGAAACCGTTTCCGACGGCTAACCCAGCACGGGCAGTCGGAGGAGAGCGCCTGGACGACTCTCTTCATCCTCGTTCACCGTCGGGGCACCGATTCCGCGCTCTCCAGTGCTTAGCGTCACGTGGATACCGTCAGGGGACTGCACACCCGGCCACGTCTCAGCAATGAGAGTGGCAGAGGGGACCGTACATAGTTAGGAGTAACTAAGGACACCGCTGTCCACCCTGGCGTTCCACACGGATTCCCTGAGCTCTCAGGGAACAAGAGAAACACCACCCTCCGCGCCCATCGTTTTTAAACCAATTTCTACAAACTGACCACTCTGTAGGGTAATTTTCCAGCTGGAGATAATACGGCCAGGAGCCAGCACACCACTGTACTGGCGTCACTCGGCGCGAAGACCCGGAAGTCTGTAGGTCCTGGGGGCCTCGGCTGCTCTTCCCCTGTGCTCCCAGGCCCAACCCCTCACCATCCCCTCCTCTATGCCATGGCCCTGCTCCCACCATCCTCCTCGACGCCCACTCCGCACCCTGCTGCTTTCTGTCATCGGGGGTCTGCCCTCAGAAACCATCAGGACCTGCTCACGGTCCTCGTCCTGGGTCAGGGTCCTCCGGCCCGTGTGGGCCAAGCATCCCCATTCTCCTCCCGCACCCAGCACGCGCTGCGCAGGAACGGCATGTCTCATGTCACAACCACGTGATGACCAACAGAGCAGCACCGCAGGGCCAGAGCCCGCGCGGCTTCGTAGTCTACAGGCAGACGGCCCCGAGAGGGCCAAGCAACAGCCAGGTGTGGTTCAGCACTTCGTGTTGTAACTCAGCGTCACGGAAGAAGAACAACTGCAGCTTTCACAGGGAGAGGCTCTGTGTTCAAGTCATGTCTTCTGTGTACTCACGACCCACAAGGGCAGCGTCCTGGGCGCAGTGTGACAGGTGCACACTGTCTTCTGAATTATCCCAAACCCCCCAGATGTCATCTGTGCCATGTGCCTGTCCTAGTACCACATCCGAGCATTTGGTGACAGAAGCTCTGAAACAGTCTCTGCTATGATAAAACACACAGGCACGTGCCGTGTACGTTTCATTTGGTCACCCACAGACCGCATATAAGACGGTGGTCCCATAAGATCATAATGCCATATCTGTGTGCACCTTTTCTGTGTTTGATACACACATACTCGCCGCCGTGACACAGGGCATGACACAGCACAGTTGTGCGCCACACAGGGGTGTGGCCCAGGAGCAGCAGACCACTGCGCCCCAGGGCCCGTGTGCAGTGGGCCATGTCCACCCCCCACCCGTCCCTTGCTCAATCCATCTTCCGCCTGCCTATTCCTGAGCTGTAGTCTCTTTAACAAAGCTGCAAATGAGCAAGGTGCTTTCCTGAGTTCTGTGAGTTGTTCTAGCAAATTATCACGACAAGGGGAGGTCACGGGAACCCGAATGTGTAGACAGCTGGGCAGAACTGCAGGCAGCCTGGGGACCCCGCCTGAAGCTAGTGTCTACAGTGGGGGCAGCCTGGTGGCCCCAACCCTCAGCCTGCGGGGTCTGACCTGATTCGGTAGGGTCGGGATTGAATTGACTTGCAGGACACCGGGAGCCGGAGAACTGGTTGTCGCAAACAGCACGACATCCCCTCCCACGGGAGGCCTCACCCCCGAGGTCCCCCAGCGTGCAGAGGTGCCCCACCGAACGTGCACCCCTGTCCGGCCATCCCCTCCCTCCAGGTCAGGGCAGAGTTTTTCATAACGGACAGGGGATGGGGACAGCTCGGGCACAACAGCCCAGCCGGGGAGGCTCTGACTCCGTGCAGGCTGCGCAGGGCCCGGGGTCGTTAGCAGACGGCTTCTCCCCACCTTTAATGTCAGGCACATTAAACTCACGCAAGCGGTTGCTATTTCTGTTCTTTAAATTAGCTGTTCCTCCCAGTTGTATGCTACGCTCTAATCCGCAGGTTTTAAAACTAATTTTTACTATAATAACCTTTCTATTCTGCTTCCAAATGACTCCATTATGAAAGGGCGTTTTTAAAAACCAAAGACTGTGGCTCCCTCGTGGAGGGTGTGTGGAGCGTGGCATACTCGGATCGGAACCCTCGCAGGACCAAGGGGCCGGGCGCGTCTTTAATTAACATTCAGTTATGGCTCTTCTTAGGCCGGAGGGGAAAACGCTTTCTCAGACGCTGCCTGTCACTGAGGCGACACAGCAGTGCGGCCATCTAACGCGTTCTCACAGATATATCAGTGCTGGGTAACTTATCACTCGAATGCTATCTTTTTCTCTGCAGAATGCGACAACAGTGTAGAATTACACCTGCCATGAGTTGCAAATTCATTTTTTAAAACACAATAGACCTAAGGAGCATGCATTTTCTCTTTGGTGACACCTGGAGAATGCTGGGACAAGACATTGCCATTTCCCCTTGCTCTCGGGCTTTGCCGCGTCTTACCAGGGCGATCCGGGCACGGGGGTGGAGGCCACGGGCCTGCTGCCTCTGGCCGCGCCGTCCTCTCCTCTCCCGAGCATTGACGGGGGCTCCTTTCAGCAGCAAGAGAAGGAGAGAGCCATCTTTAATTTTAAACACTCCTCTTCAATTACAGGCAACCAAGTGACAGCAACAAAAGCCTCCGGCAGACAGACCTGCCCGCGGTAGCCCCCAGATAACGACCCTCTGGGTACAGCAAAGCCACCAGGCTGGGCGTTATGCTGAGAATGTGGAATTAGGGCACAACAGGCTGTCTAATAACTTGGACAAAGGCACCCCTCCTTGTCCTAAGCTGTCTACGCCGCCTGCTTTTCTAGGGACAGAGACAGAGGCAGCCGAGAGGGGGCACCTGAGACCTGAAGTTTTGGGGGCAGAAAATCCTGCTGGATCTGTCTCGGGAAATGAGCCGACCCAGCAGCAGCAGTTACCGTGCCACGAGAAAACCACATTTAGTGTCAGGGAGCCTTGAAGCGGAGCTGGCACATCCAGGGCCTGCCAGGGCAGGAGGAAGTGACAAGCCCAGATTCTTAAATAACGACCCTGCCCCACAGTGTCTGGTTGCTCCCAGCGGGTGCCACCTTTCTAGAGCAGCCAGCTGGGGGCAGGGGCTCCGGGGGCGGGTTTGCTTTGTCAGGTGACCGTGATGCTCAGCCAGGTGTGAGAAGCATCGCTCTGCCTCCGTCTCAGAAAACAAAGAATGTTTGAACATGACATCGCCTGGAATAAAATAAAGATTCATTACCTAAAATTAAAAAGAAAAAAAAAAATCTGTGGTTGAGGCACTTGACCAGTGTTCACTGTAGAGTGGAATTTGGAGAGAAGCAGAAGCAGTTTGAGGGTAGGAAATACGGCCAATCACAGCTCCGACAGACCCAGAGACCCAAGGCCCAGGTGAGCTCATGCAGCCGCACCGACGCACGGCCGACTCCGGATCTCTGTTCGGCAGTGGGCAAACGCACCCGCGTTCCTACCAGCGGAACTGCAAAATCACACTGAGGAATTTTAAAAGAAATAAAAAAGTATTCATAAAAATTTTGGAGAACTGTGAGAAAGAAATGAACTCCCAGCAAGTACAGTAAACGTTAGTGGTCGGAAACGTCTTTCTTTTTTCTTCTCCCAGCTGTTTCCATGGTTTTTATCTCAAACTTAAAATGCTACGATCAAGATTATGTTCTCTCTGTCTTGGAAAATCAGGTGAGATGAAAAGACAGCAGTGCATCATTCAAAGCAAAAACCTGCTCCTGGGCTGAGAATGTCAGGTGCAATTAAAACTCTAGACTCATTAAAAAAATTGAATGTCATCCTAAAATTTTGGAATCTCTGCTTTTACTGTCGCGAATGTCAGTACTGTATGCGACAGCGTAGGTGAAAAGATGGTTAGCCATTTGACCGACCAAAACTAAAGGAAGTTGACGTTCCAAAGCCCTACTGGGTGCACCCCGGTGCGCTTAGCCACACATGGGGGTGGGGACTGCGCCACAGCCCCCCACACCCGTCCCTGGGCCCCGAGGGCTCTGCTGGGACCTGCGCTCATTTTCGCTGTCTCAGCCACCTTCCAAACACCATAGTGAGGAAAGTGCTGAGTTTTATGCTAAGCAGAGCAGCATAGAATTCAAACAAAAAGTGAAAAGAACCTCAAGTATCCGCAGGAGCCAAAGTGAAATAAATCCCAAAGAAGTAAACGTGCCCATCCCGGTCCTTTGGCAAACCAGCGATGATAGCGAAGCTGTCTCTTGCCGACCAACCGTGCTGGCAAGAGCACGTGGCCACGCCTGGAGCCCCCGCCAGGCAGGAAGCACGAGAAGTCGCAAGAGAAAACATTCAGCCAGGAAAGCTCCTGCTCGGCCTCTGGCGTGAGGGTGGTCTCGGGAGGCACCTTAAACACACCAGCAACGACCAGAGGACAGGCTGTCTGCTGCAGGCGTCCCCTCCTGCCCCTGGCACTCCACTCATCTGGACAGATAATTCCCTTTAAAGAATGATCTGTAACTCATGTTGTTATCCTTAAGTCTGTAAATCTAAGGAAAAAAGTATTTTCTGGTAACAGGAAATGTCTTTGTCTCCTGTGAGACAATAAAGTCGGGACAAATAATTAGCGTAACAGGGAGTACCAGAAACACTTGCCTCAAAAAATATATCCATGAAGACCAGAGTTTATATCACCAACCCAATTAGAGAAATTAGAGGGATTTTCATTATGAAGTTAATTGAACAATAGAAACTCAACAAGAAGTCTCCGGGCAGTAGATTCCTCAGCTAATTATTCCAGCAAATACAGTAGGTGTAACTCGCGAGGGGGACTAACGCTTAAATCTGGCAGCGTCGGGATTCTCTGCGCTAATTACCGAGGTCGTCTCCATGAGGTGCGTGCAGGTTATGATTTCCGGTTGGTGATAAAAATGGCTAATCGTGGTATAAAACTCCTGTTCCCTGCTCAAGCAGTAAAGGTGAATTAGACTCGCAGAGCCCAGCGATAAAGAAAGTATTTATTTAAGGCGCTAGAAAGGCTACCTGTGTAATTAATATGTAATTCCGCCTTGGATGTTGATCTCCTATGGAAAAATCATACATCAGGCGGCAAAAATTTACTTTGCACTTACATTTGTGATCGATTTCCACGGTTTGTGGCGGGCACTGGGATGGGAAAGGAAGTTGGCCACATGGCAACCGTGTCCTGCAACTGCTCTGGAGGGCCCGGCTCAGAAAGCCGGGGGCTGGGAAACCCCCAGGGGCCATGAGGCTGAAGACACCTGATCCAGGTAGAGTGAGAACCAGTGAGTCTGACCACACCCTCTGCCGCATTTGACAGCTGGGAGCAGATTCAGTGTGGTTCAAGGTTTTCAGACGTTGCGATGAAGATGACTCCCTCGGGTTATGCGGAGGAAGGACGGTGCCATTCAACACATTAAATGCATCAAACACAATGTCCTGATCCGTCTTTAAGATGCCATTTGGCAAGCAGGCAAAGAGAAAGGCCTAAAATTAGAAGGTTTTGGAAAAAAACAAGCGTGTGTTGGGTTCTCTTTACCCCGCCTAAGCGGCGTCTGTCTGCCTGCGGCCCGGCCGCCTGTGTGTCCTCTCTCCCCTCTGGAAACAGACAAGGTACGTGAGGAGCCAGATTCACTCCCCGCAGGCTCTGGCCTCGGATCTGGCAGAACTGGGCTGGGCTGTTCGGTGCTATGCGAGGCCTTGCCGGGCCCCCGGGGCTTCACCAGCACCAGTGGCCGCGCACACAGACCGTGCAGGAGACAGCGGGAGGGGGTCCTGTCCTGACCTCCAAACCTGGGGTTTGCATCTTTCAGACACACGCTGTCCGCAGACTGACCTTGTCCTCCTTGTCTCCAGGCCGGCTCTTCCTCTCCGTGTGCAGCACCAGGGCGGGGGGGCAGGGCGCGCGGCGGCAGAGCTCCTTACTTTTATCTGTTGGACCAAAGCAATTGTCATTAACATTCCATTGTCAGGGCAGTTTGGAAAGCTAAGCAATCAAAGCCAAAAAGCAGCCTTGAAAACTCAGATTGATTGGCAACCATCGTGCATTCTGCAGGAAGGTGGCATTGTCACGTCCTCTGGATGGAAGTCTAGTGACAAAGCTCTCATTCCCAAAGGAGGGCAGCTGCGGGTGGAATCAGAAGCCTGGGCCCCTCCCTGACTCAGTCCCCGCCCGACCCCGGACTTCCAGGCCCAGCCTCCAGCCGTGCCCTCCCGGCCTGTGTGCAAAGGTGCTCACTGGTGCCCCCGGACTCACACAGCCTCTTGGGGAAAGACGCTGAGGATGGTGACCAGAGGAGAAGCCCCCACTTTGGCTGTTGTCCACCTGTGACATCCTCAGGGGGAGGCCATGGGACCTCTCCCAGCAAATGGCCGGGACACTGCCGGTGACTCACAGTCCTGGTGGGCTCAGGGTGGCGTGCTGTGCCGCGTTGTGTGGGCTCCCAGGGCTGCTCTCACACATTCCTGGGGGCCCAGGGCTCCGGGCAGATGGGACCTCCCTCCAGTGATGTCAATGCTCCCTAGACTCCATCTATGCCTTTCCGGTACCATCTAAAATGCCACCGTCCATGCTTTGTGGACTAGGCCACGTGGGTCATGGGTGGATAGGGCCCAGGCCCTCCGACAACAACAAGGGGCTGACGTGTGACAGCAGAGCCAGCCTTGCCGAGGCTTTGACAGCGAGTGGCATGAGGGGCCGCCTTGGCCCAGGCCTGCCGGCATCGGGAAGGACTCCAGGCTGGCCAGGCCTCCAGGTGCCACAGCTTGCTGGTCACCAAAGAGGGCACAGGCTTTTGTCCAGAGGCCAAACTACACAGCACTTTGACAAGTGGTTTTTTGGGGGAGGGAAAGCAGAAAAGGGAAAAAATATGGGATTCTGAGAATTAGAACAAAGGTTAAGGTTTCATCTTTTCCCCAAATGTCTAAATAACCTTTGAAATTTTGCAAATAGTTTTAGTGAAAGGTAACAGAGATTGACCACTGTTTCATACTAAAAATGAAAAGAAAAACCTAAACCATCTAACCATGCAGCAACCTAAAAATAGATAAGTTCTGAGAGGAAAAGCCTGCAGGAGTCTCGGGGGTTTGCAGAGCAGGAGCCTTCGGGAGACAGAAATTGCCCGGCTGGAGCTCCCGACCACCCAGCAATGAGAAAGGTCTTGGCTGTGCTCCCTCCTGGCAGGAGGGAGGAAGGGGAACCGCCGAGAGTCACTCCACACATGTGTGCCCCCCATGCACACCGCGCACACACGGACACACAGGAAGAGTGTCCACGGCCTCCCTCCTCCACGTGGCTGCAGCTGTGGGTGGGGGCAGGGCCGGGAGCGACAAGGCTGGGAGCCCCCAGCACATCACCCTCTTGCTGCCTCCTTCAACCCACTGCGGACTCGGGCTCCCTCGGCACCCATCCCGGGAAAGAGGTTTGTGGGAGGTGCCACGTGGGCTCGGTCCCCGCGTGGGGCCCGGCCATCACCTTCCTGGCTGTGGCTGCAGAGCCGGGTGGTCCGCGGTGTCCCTCTCCAGAGCCCTGGGCAGGAGGCCCCGCACTCAGGCAGTGCTCGGCCGACAGCCATGCTTCAGACACGGAGCAGAGACCCCGGGGCAGCCCGGCCTGGACACCATGACCCCATCCCCAGAGGCGCGGTGTCTGGAGCACACAGAGGCACCCGGGTCCATCCCGGCTCCCCCTTCATCTGGTGAGCGGATGGACAAATGACCAGGGGGCATTGTGACCGCATCAAGGCCTTGCCCACTGCCACCACTCTGAAGAGTGTCCTGGCCGCAGGCTCTCCCGGGGACCAGATGGCCGGTCCGGAGCTCAGACTGTTGGCAAACAAGCTACGTGTGAACCCCTGACCTTGCCCGGCCCCGCGTGCCAGCGCCATCTCTACGTGTGTCGGGCGGAGCCTCTGCCGGGCGCTCTGCCTTCCCGAGCGACCACAGGGCCCCGGGCAGCCACGGCCACCACCAAGAGATACCTCAGCCTCGTGGGGCCACACGCAGGCCCATTTCCAGACCCACTCTGGGGGAGGACAGATCCACTCTCATTGAACTGGGTAACCACACCCGAATCAGGAAATAAATTCGAGGGCAGAGGAAATATCTTCCCGCCACTCAGGGGGCCACCCGGAGCTCAAAGCTCTGCAGGAGTCCCTCCCCATGGCCCGTTCCTTGTCAGGTGTGACAGGATCTCCTACACTCAGCCCTGTTTCTGCCCCCTCCCCCACCCAGCTGGGACTGAGAGCCAGCTGGGCAGGGCCTGGGCCCGTCCCTCTGCCCCCACCCTGCAATCCCGCAGGCAGCAGAGGAGGGGACGGGGAGGGGGGGGAGGACAGACAAGCTGAGCCTTCCTGCCCTCAGCCCCCTAAAGAGACCCAGCCCAAAGCAGGCTCAGGTTAAAGGAGGAGTGAAGTCAGGCGTCATATGAAGTGGGGTATTTCATTAGTGAACTCAGACCTGTTTTGTGACAGGATATCAACGGGTGGCTTTTTACGACCTAAGAATGAGCCAGAAGTCGTTTGGTTTAAATTTTATCCAAAGCGCAGCAGAGAGGGAGCCCCATGGAGCATGTCTGATGGGCTGTGCAAGGGGACAGGCGGTGTGCTTTGGCTCTGCCCCACGTACCCCGTGTCTGCAGCCTGGTGGCCTCCCACAAGACACACGGCCATCGCGTTAGCAGAGATGCGTGTCAGCGTCTCCTAAGAGCTTGGAGAGAAGCATGCATCCCCAAGTGACGTGTTAGGAAAATTGGCAGCCGTGAGCCTGTACCGCCCTTCTCAAACGGGAGTAGCACGGCGGCACCTACCCCCGTTACTTTGAGAAAACATGTTAAGACACCGCCTGCATTGAGAACAGTTGATCTTTGTAAAAATCAGATCTTAAAAATCTGGCTTTGGAGATAAACGGATTTACATTGTTCCTCCTGAGTGCTTCTCAGAGAAGATATTTCTGATGATCATTTTAAAGCCCTCATCGCAGACACACATTCCGCAATACCGGTGACAGATGCGTGCGCCATGCCCCGAATAGTTTTCTGAACAACCAGCACTTTCTAACGGCCATCGATTTTGCAGCTGCCTTGGAGGCAGGAGCGTGAACACCTGGGGCTCGGGCGCGTAATTGGGTCTGCGGCTCGGCCACTGCACCGTGCAAACGCTCGCTCTACGGCTCTCCGCGGGCCACTTCTGCGGGCCTCTCTGACATGCTTAAGTAATCTTTGCTTTGGGCCTCTCCACAAACTCTGATGGCGTCGCTGCGAAATGCTCCCTTGGGTGGCGAAGAGAACTAGTTTATGGAGGAAAATCAACAAGTTGTACGACTATGGGCGCCCAGGCACTTTGGGGAGGACACGATGTACGCCCGCCCTCCGAGAGAGGCGCCCGGGCAATATCTTCCCGGGCCAGTGGTCTATCGATCGAGCCCGGCCTGTGATGCGAAGAGTTCCCCAGCGGCCGGTGTATTTTCCTCCGGGCAGCGCCGAGAGACAAAGAGAACTGGGAAGGTCACGGGGAAGTCTGGAAGGAGGAAAATACTGAATATGGCCGCGTCAGTCCACTGACAAGTACTTATTTACTGTTCACATGGAATCCGACGCAGCCCTTGATGTCTGTGGGGAAGAAAGGGGTGTGAGCAATTAGACAGTTCGTTCCTCCAGGTGCTGCAGGAATTGGCGAGGGTGTCCACGAGAGGAAGACACAGCAGAGCCCCTCGAGGAGCAGTGGCGATAACTTATCTCCTTGAAAAACGTGTGGAATTCCAAGCCATGCTCCATTCTCGGGCAAGACCTGGCTTTGGAGACTGTTGGCACTCAGCAACCGATCACCTTGTCTCCCTGAAAAAAAGGGTGAGGTGGCTTTGCCTGTGTCCTAATGGGAGGTCAGTGTCTGCAACAGCTTTCTAGCATTTTCCTTCTTGGTTATTAGTCCAGATCGGAGCCACCTGTTCTCTTAGAGTCCCCAGAATGTGAAGACTCAGAGGTACCTGGCGTCATCTGGTGTCATCTGGCGTCAGGTCACAGATGGAAGACAGCGTGTAAGAGTGCAAGGCCAGTCGGATGGGCGGTCTCGGTTCTCTCACCCCAACATCAGCAAATGCTGCCTACACGGAATAAAGAACTCGGGGATTTTTTTTTTAACACTCAAAAATTTGCTTCTTAAAAAGTATTAAAATAAAGAACTACTGCAGACAAGTCAAAATTGTCTAACTTCTCAAAAAGCTATTAGAAATATATCAGCCTCTCCTAATTCAGAGGGTGATTCTGAAACTCAGGCTAATTTTATTTCAAAAACCACTGACTTCCTGTGACCTCAGCTTTCTCATCCATAAAAAAAACCGTAGTCCCAGCTACTCGGGAGGCTGAGGCGGGAGGATCACTTGAGCCCAGGAGTTTGAGGTTGCAGTGAGCTGTGATCACACCACTGCTCTAGCCACAGCAAGATTCCATCTCCAAAAAAAAAAAAAAAGCAACTAATGCCTTGAGCCTTTTCCAATTCTGGGATTCTAAAAGTCAACAAGACCTCTAGAACTATTTGGAGTAAATCTCAAAGAAACAAACAGAAGACGCAATCGCAACTGCGCAGGGCTCTCCGAGCATTCTACCTCCGCTTCCCATCGGGGAGGGGCTCACTCGGGGAAATGAATGAGCCTCTAGGAAGAGGAACAGGTTAGAAGAGAGAACGCATTTTTCTATTCCGAAAGCCATAGTGACCACCGATGTACGTCTGTTGGAACCGGCCTCCTCTGATTTTGGAATTAGGCAGAGACTCTCCTAGACCGGGGACCCTGATCCACAGATGATCCTGACAGTGGCTTCCTCAGGTGCCCATGAGGTCGGAGGGAACAGCGGGATGGCGCGAGTCCCCCAGTTGCTGTAGGCCTCTGGCTGTTACGGGAAGGCTGTTACGAGGAGAATCCACACCACCAGACCCTCT